TCTCACAAGTTCCAGTGAAGGGTGATTTTGTCATTTTTCCAAGTAGACAAGATTCACAACTATCATCTGATTTAAGGTCAAATGATTCCAAGACTCCACTCTTTTGGAGTTGGCCTATGCGTTTCTTGTTTACATGTCCAAGACGACAATGCCACAATGATGCTTTATCTAGGCTAGTAGAAGAATCAATATACAACACATTATTTCCTAAGTTGTCTACAATCGACACAGTTTCATACACACCATCACAAGGTAATGCTTTAAAATAAAACACATTATTAAAGAAAGCATTAATACCACCACATTCATTATCAAACGAAAAGGTAAAACCTTGTTTGTACAAAGCATGAAAAGAAATAATATTCCTCGCCATTTCAGACGAGTACACACATTTATTCAAATCTAATTTTAACCCATTATTAAGCAACAAAGTATAAACTCCAATCTTGGAAACAGGTGAAGCCTTCCTATTCCCCATGATTAAGTTTATCTTCCCGTGCTCCACATCCTCACTTCTTCTTAGGCCCTGCAAATCAGAACATATGTGAATACCACATCCTGTATCAAGCACCCAAGAGTTAGAATATGTTGAGTAATTAGACAATATAGTGTAAATACCTGCATAGGTGGGTTTCACTTTCCCATCCTTTAGATCCTGCAAGTACTTAGGGCAGTTTCGCTTCCAGTGTGCCTTTTCATGGCAATAAAAGCATTCAGCATCCTTGGGAATGGCAGAAGGAGTGACAGAACCGTTCTTAGTCTTTGATGAGGAGCCTTCAAGAGACTTTCCCTTGGTACCCTTCGAAGGGTGCTTCCTCTTTTTCCCTTTGCCTTGCCCAATAGCTAAAACAGGGGTAGAAGTTGGAGTAGGAGTAGTAGAGGTAACAACCGCTTTACCCTTAAGACCGGTTTCAGCGGTCTTCAAGAGTCCTTGAAGCTTGCTGAGGGTAACTTCCTCCTTGTTCATATGATATGTCATTCGAAAATGATCATAACAAGAAGGCAAGGAGTGCAAAATGATGTCAATTGCCAACTCCTCGGGGATGTTAACATTCAGCTTCAGCAAACGGTCCACATACCTTTGCATCTTTTGCATGTGGCCCGTGACGGATTCACCGTCCTTCATGCGGGTAGTTATTATGGAGGAGATTATTTCATACCGCTCCTGACGAGCACTCTGATGGTACCTTTCCATCAGGTCTTGGTGCATCTCAAAAGGGTAGAAATCTTCATACGACTTTTGGAGCTCGGCTGTCATCGTGGCCATCATGATACATGCCACCTTAGTAGCATCTCTCTCATGAGTCCTGAATTCAGCGATCTCCTCAGGAGTAGCAGTAGACTCATCAAGTTCTTTTAACTCCTTATCGAGGACATATTCCTTGTCCTCGTAACGAGTAACCATCCTGATGTTCCTAATCCAATCCATGAAGTTGGAACCATCAAAGATGACCCTCCCACAAAGATTCATGAGAGAGAAAGAACCAGTTGGGTTAGAGCCTGAAGCATTAGTGTTGGAAGACATCTGAAAGAAGAAAGTAAGTTTAGATTAGATATTTAGGATCCTTAATAAGACACCCAAATGTAATATTAAGGCTAGGATCCAATCACAATATATTACACTTAGAAGAGGGATGCCGTAATCTAAGTAATAATATATTTGAAAGGTAGGTGAATGACGATTCACCAATTTCCACCATGAAAACGAAATGATTTATTAGGTTTAATTGGATTTGAAATTCCTAGATTCTTTTGAGATTCATTGAACTTTTCAATGGCATGTTTCAATCTCGATTGTGCCCTTCAAGTTTTGTGACTGGGATGCCGAGGATCACAAAACAAGGTGTGAATAACCATGCTAATTCACTTGGTACTCTTAATATTATCACCTAATCAATGTGCCGGTTAACCACACACGCTCCATTGATCTATGACAAACATTAAGTCACCCTTCGTGATCCTTACTAGTCCTAGTTAGTGTGCCGGTTAACCACACACGCTCCACCAACGACTTGGTAAGGTACAAAGTGTGAATTCCATGGACTAGCACCATGTTCACATTTTCCTAAAATAACTAAGATTGGGAATTAAAAGAGTTTAGTTACTTTATAATATTCATTATACTTTTAATGAGGATTTAAAGTCATTGTTCTACCCGTTCGGCTAACGACCCTCCACCGATCAAGCAAGCGGTGGGTGAGAGTATACACCCATTAAGTCGCCATTTTATAGGCAACAACCTTATACCCACCTTATAGACCGGCTTCGTGAATGAGGCCTACTAACGGTAAAACGACTTATTCTTATACATATATATAATAATTAACCATTAATGTTATAAATAGTATAAGGGTTGAATTTTAACTATTAAAACTCTAAGGTTTGGAATTAAAGTTTATTAAAGTGTGTGAAACTTTACAAATTCCAAAACTTGAGGGCAAGTTTTGTAACTTTGCAAAACTCTTCATTTCATAACTTATGAATTAAAGGTTCATAAAAATGAAGACTCTTCATTTTCATGTAACTTATGTGTTTTAAGTGTGTGTTAAATGAAAGTGACCTTTGGTAATCCATAACTTGAGGACAAATTATGGACTCCATTAAAACACATAAATGATAAAGAATTAATCCTAAACAATTCAGCAAATAATTCCTATCATTTTCTAAATTCATAAGAACATGAACATGATCATCAAAAATTCAAGAATTATATGAACACATAAAATCATGGAATTTTGATATATGCTATTGTAAATGGATTAGAACAACCATTACACCAACTAAAATAAGTTTTATAACACCAAAACATTTAGGGTAATGTTTCTAGTCCATTTCCAGCAGCAAAAGTCGAGATCTGCACTTTCGATCCTACTCGTCGAGTGCATGAACTGACTCGTCGAGTAGGTTGAAGTTTGCCTTGGACTCGTCGAGTCCCCCCAATGGACTCGGCGAGTCCACCATGCAGACAGCAACGATTTCGACTTTTTTCACTATTTTGCATCAAGTATCAAACAAGCAAGCCTAGGCTCTGATACCACTGTTGGGTTTTGAGCAATCTAACACTTCCTAAGTGTGCATGCAACCCTAATAAACCTTGGATCTATGTTTGTCTAAATACATGCAAAATAATAATTTTCCAAGGTTTATAACCTATCTAACATGGCATGGGGAACATTTCAACATAAAAGAGTTAGAAGAGATTACATACCTTTTGGTGAGTTTGGTTCTAAGGAGTTTGAGGGCCAAGCACCAATAGTGTGAATGCCTCAAATGGAATCACAAACACCACAAACTCTTGGAAAACTTTGAGAGAGTATACACCTTGTATAGAAATCGGCCACACACATGCACACACACACTAGTTCACTAGTTTTCTCTTAGGCTTCATTTCATGCTCCATAAGCATGCTTATATAGTATGCATGGTTAGGGTGAAACCCTAATAACCCATGTCTTTTCCTTTTCCAAGGATCCATGGGTTAAAAGCTCCATGGATCATCCATGGACTTCCACATAAGCCTAGCCCATTAACAAATGAGTATTAGCCCACACTATATAAAACAAATAGCCCATAATTTAATTAGTATTCCTTTTAATCTCTAAATTAATCCATAATTAATTTAAGACTAAAACTAATTAAATAACGTAACTTCATATTAATATATTATAACTCATAATATATTAATAAACATATGTGTATAACTCTCATAAAATTATCCATAATAGTTTGGATGAGATGCAACCCAAATGGACCATGCCGGTCGGGTCAAGTATATACCAAATAAGTTATGGACTTAGACACCTTATCCAACAGTATCCACCAAGAACTTAATGTAAAATCACATATTGTTACGAGTTAACTTAAAACTGATCATCATGTCAAAAAGGTTCATACGCTTCTTAGTATTCTCTAATTAAGATATATTTGAGAAAATGGAAGGAAAAAATAAACGAGCCCAAAATTATAAAAAATACATATTTTATGGGGGAAAAGCTCATTTCTCTGACTTTTTTATTAAGTCATTTCCTTCTGCATCAAGTAAAAAATAACATCCATATATAGTTTACCAGATCAAGTCATGTTCTCATTAAGTCCATTAAGTAAAAAAGAAATATCTTACATTAATGTTGCATTCAATAGTTTTTACCATATTAGCCGCCTCGATATCTCCAAGGTTGATCTTGACTCGGTCAAACCAAAGTACAATGGCTTTTACTCACCCATAATGACAAATTCCCATGTAACTAAGTAAACACACACTTACCATGTGTATTACTGTGTGGTTGGTCATAGGAATCTTGTCATTATCTTCATGATTTCAAGAAAATTCTCACACCATTTAGAAAATTACAAGATTCGAGTAGCCACAAAAACGTGAATATGGTGTGATCAATACACCAATTGTTTGACTTTATCTTGACCAATCTTTTTACATTTGTACGATCCTCTCCAAATTCCTCCACTTAGCACACTTATGGATGAATTAGATTGCTTATGTGGCAAGATTGTTTTGCTATATATTGATCTTGTTGATTTGGGTAAGGTTATGGAGTAATCATATCAAACTTCAAATTGGATTCAGAATCTTGAGAGTGGTTTGCAGATTTTTTGGTAATTGTCTGGTTCTTCATGGCATTTTTATTCATTTTTTATACTTTGAAAAAACTACTCAATTATGGCAGTGAACATTGGTATAATTGGATAGATTTTTCAAAATACAATGCTTTTATAGGAAAATACAAAACTAGGATGTTATAATAAGCACATCGATGAAAGTAACTTGCTGTTTCTTGTATTTAATTCTTATAAAAATGAAAACTTTTGGAAACTGTTATAAAAACCAGAAGCCGTGTCACTGTTTATGCTTTTTCTTAATGAAAATAATCAAATCCGAAAAGTGAAAGGGTTTTAGACTTTTGGTAATGGCTTTTAAAATTGAGTCAAATTAATAATTAAGTGAGGGTAATATAATATTTATTGCATTTTAAGGCCAGTGAAAAATGGAGGGAAGCTCAGGATTTCAAAGCCCAATGCAAGCCCGATACCAATACCTCTACCAGCAACCTCCCCTTCCGCCCACGGGTCAAACCCCACGATTCCAAGGCCAACCTCCGCCAAACAATCTACCATCACAACCACCTTTAAAAACCCTAAAATGGACCGATGAAATGGTAAAGCTTATGATTATCGCCATTTCTTACATAATGGAAGCTTCAATAACTTCACCTGATTCCAAAAAAACTACCCAAAAACCAACCCTCGTGTCAAAAGAAACAAAATGGAAGGTCATTTCAACGGTGATGTCCGAAAGGGGTCACAATGTGACACCTCAGCAATGTGAGGACAAGTTTCTTGAAATCAACAAAAAGTATAATCAACTAATCGGGTTACTCGGTAGGCCCACAAGCTGTGAGGTTTTCAAAAACCCGATTCTTTTGGACTCAATTGAAATGCCTGAAACCCTAAAACATGAGGCCCGAAAGCTTCTAGAATCAGATCAATTTTATTATCGGGAAATGTGTTCGCTTCATCATAACAATCGAATATTTATTCCTCATGATTGGGAGGTTATGAAGTTGGTTTTTTTGGGGCTTGAGGGTAATAAATGGGATGATTTGCGGGCCCGGCGGGCCCGGTTGGAAGATAAGAAGTTGGAGTTACAAGAGAAGAGGTTGGAGCTTGAGAAAGATCGGGTTAAGTGGTTGTGTTTGGATCAAAATGAAAAGATGAAAGTGGAGAAGATGAGGTTGGAAAATGAGAAGTTGAAGTTTGAGAATGCGCGCTTGGCATTTGAATTGAAATGTAAGGGAATGGTTGTAGGTGATGATGAGAACTGAATTGACTCGGTTTTCGTATTTGGATATGCTTGTTTAAGGTATCTTTTGTTATGTGTTTTTTTTTTCTTTATTAAAGTTTGGTTATTGTATGAATCGGTTGTACTTTGGTGTTGTTTGATGGTACCTTCTTATGTTTCGAGTTTATCTATGTTTTGTATCTTTACTGTGAGATGTAAATCAAATATACAACAACAAGCTATAAGTCTAACTGTTTCCACTCTAGTCCTAAGTTTTTGAATTATAATTCTCATAACATACCGTGAGATAGAGTAGAGATGTAAATCAATTATATAAAGTTGGTTGTTGCTAAATAGTGGGAGGTGTTTTTTTAAACAAATTATTCAAAAGATTTATATATTTTCTATATCTTTTTGTTTTATTTGTGAACTTTATAGAGATTATTTATATGCATATTCTAAAGGGAATTTGGTATTTGTTCACTTTCCCTCTTATTAAAAGCATGCACACATTTTACATTCTCTTGAAAAATATACGTATTTCTTTATTTGTTATTGCATACAATTATAGAAGTTATTTGAATATAACATTTGTAAAAAAAAGTTTAAAATTTATAGTAATTAAGATATGTTTTTATTTAGTATTATTGTATGAGCCTTCATGGTGAGCACATCTCCATATATGGTAATGATTGGTTTGTATTTATGTATAAAATCCTAGCCTATGATATCCCAAATTAAATAAATAAAAAATAAGCAACTCAAAATAAGAAACAAGAATAACGAATATACCATCCCAGCCTGTAATATGAGTGCTTAGGAAAAAAAGACAATTAACAAAAGGACAATAGACATGTTTAGAAACCATCCATTTTCCTAAAATCTCTATGTATCATAGATATTCCCACCAACGAAAAAACCTACTATAAAATCCCATTTGGACATTCATTTTCAAAATACAATTAAGCCATCTACTCTTCATCACCATTTTCTTTGTTCTTTTGGTTCATAGCACTCACCTATATATAATTATATAGGAAGAGTGAAAGAATTGATTTTATAAAAAAAATCAATAACTTTTCGCTTAATTTGCTTTAATTTTTTTTAAGTAGCCACGAAGAAATATGGGCGGTTGTTATAGCGCTCCCAAGACCTTAAAAAAGGAGAAGGGTCGGGCCCCAGCCCCAGCCCCAGCCCCACAAGAGGCCAAGGAAGAGACCATCCCCAAAATGATAGAGTTCCATAAGGAGGAAACTATCCATGAGGTGACAAAACCTCATAAAGAAGAGATTCCATCTGAGAAGAAAAATTTAGATCCGTATGTCACCCCTAAGATGGAGATGTGTAAGGAACATGTTAATTCTGAGGTGGTAATGCCACGTAAGGAAGAGACCACTCCTGAGCCAATGTTGTCACCAAAGAAGGAGACAACCCCTCAGGTGGTGGCCTCTAAGGAGGAAACCTCTTCTGAGATGGTGGTGTTGCCTAAGGATGAGACCACCCTTGAGGTGCCATTGACTCCTAAGGGGGAGACAACCATCGAGGTGGCAGTTCCTAAGGGGGAGGCCACCATTGAGGTGGCTGTTCCTAAGGAGACCATGGAGGCGACGGTGATTACATCTAAGGAGGCTATGTCAAAGGAGATTGCTTCTAAAACTGCCACTACCAACAACGAAAGTGGTGATTCGAAAGACATAAAGAAAGACAAGGATGAAGAGGAGAATAAGGATGGTGAAAAGGTTGACAACTCTAAGCTGAATGAGGTATGATTTATTCATTTGTCTACTTATTATGTAATAGTTTATAAGCATTCATTTATTGTATCTTGTATCCAAAATAAATATTGTCGTAATTGAAAATAAAAATCTCAAATTTTGTTGAAATATTCCATATCTTTTATAATAAGTTATGCACGTCTTTTTCTCAAAAATGTTATATATTTTTGGGATTTGAAAGATTTTACTAGGCCTAAAGTTTGGGCTTATGTCCCATTGGGCTTTAAATAGACATATTTTGTATTTCATAAAAAATATATTCACTTTTAAAATGATTGTGAAACTCATCCAACAAGGAAACTTTTAATCTTTTATTGTTAGAACTATTTATTTGAATTATTTGAATTATAGGAAAAAAAGACTTGAGGAAGAGGCCAAAATTGTTCCAACTAAGGTTAATGAAGAAGAATCCAAAGACATCGAAACAAAAAAGGAAGAACTCAAAGTTGTCAAGGAGAAATAATTATCGGTATCACATTTATAAACAGACGTGCTCCTCACGTGTTTTTTTGCGGTGTTAAATAGTGTTGATACTTGGTATAATGGTATCATTGATTAAATTTGGCTATTGTTAAAACCATAAATTGAATCGTTTGAAATTGATTTTAAATTTGTTTCAGTCAAGGCAACAATAACAATTAAAGTTCATTATTATTCAATTTGGTTATGCGATTCTATAACATTTAAGAATAAAATGAAGTTGTAAACAATATTATAAAAGCTATGCACTGTTTTTACGATATAAATAATTATTTGATAACACAAGTAGCAATAAGCAATTAAATTGTGAACATTAAGGCTATGTTTGATGTACTAGCTGAAAAGCTAGCTGTTAGCGGAAAAATTAGCTGATAGCTGAAAAGCTAGCTGTTAAATAAAAAGCTAGCTGATAGCTAAAAAGTTCGTTAATAAAAAATGACGTTTGGTAAAACTATGAGAGTATCTGTTTTCTATAATTAATTAAGGGGTGTATTTGAAAATTTTAAAAAAAGCTAGTCTAAGTAGCTTTTCAAAAAGCTAGCTTATAAGCTACTTTTTGGCTTACCAAACACGACAACATAAAAAAGCTCGAAAAATAAGCTAGTTAAACACAGTCTAAACCACATTAGGTATGACCGTAAATCTATGGTTTTGAACGACTAAACAGAATCCATATGGACTCCTAAAACTCTAGATATGGATGAACTCAGAAAATTTAAAATGAAAAAAAAAAAAAAAAAAGACTATCTGTGAACGGCAATATTTTAAATAATTTGGATTCAACGTTTTTCTCTACAAAATATAGAACATTCTTTTTCTATTGGATTTTAAAAATTTTACATTAATTTTATAATTTAGCGTTTATACTTACATAGACACCAAGACAATAATGTAAAAGAAACATAGATTAGCCTGTATTGATTAAAAATAAACGATAAAAATATAAATAAGCTTTTTTTTTTTGGACTTAAACTTATAAAATTGATATCTATAACACTCCATATTAATATTACTATGAAGAGAAATGGTTGTTTTGTTTTATAAAAAGGAAGATGTAAACGTGATTTGGCATTTTAAGGTTTCCACGTTGCTATTTGGAAAAAGTGTTGTAACTTTTTTTAGCCAATCTAATTAATATTTTCATGCAACATGCAAGAAATGATTCTTAACAAGTTTTTGTATTTTAATGGCCTCCCACCCCTGAATACATTTATGTTACTATGTTAAAACCCGTAAACCCCATATATATGTTAATTTTAAATAGAATTTAAAATTTAATTATATAACAAAATAATATTTCTTTAATTTAGAAAACAACTGTATTTTTTAATCACTTTGTGATTTGTATGTATTTAATTACACAGTAAATGGTAAGAGTATTTAATTACAAATGAAGATTTTTAAAAACCTTACTTTTGGTGCATGATTCTAGTTGAAAATACGGAGATGATGACACAATCACAAGGGAGCAAGTGGGAAGAAAAAACGTTTGTTGGTTAAAATGACACTTTTGCCATTATAACTTACAATCCCAATAAATCTTCAACTCCATTATCTCGACCAGTCATCATTGTCATTGTAGGATTTTTACTAAATCGTTAATGGTGTTAATTTCGTGAGATTAATAGAAATTATTGCTCTCTTCGTTAGTTTTTTTTCAAAATTTTACATTGATTTACTATGTCATGTGTCTCTTTTTTAGGCTTACCGGCCATAACCTTGAAATCCGTGTAATGGTGGTGTTTTTCTTCGGATATGTTCTCTAATTTTTAATTAATTATGTGTTGAAGGACTTAAACTTCTAAAATTGATATCTATTACACTCCATATTATTGATATTACTACGAAGAGAAATGGATGTTTTGTTTTATAAGAAAGATGTAAACGTGATTTGGCATTTTAAGGTTTCCACGTTGCTATTTGGAAAAAATGTTGTAACTTTTTTAGCCAATCTAATTAATATTTTGATGCATCATGCAAGAAATGATTCTTAGTAAGTTTTTATATTTTAATGGGCCCTCACCCCTGAATACATTTATGTTATTAGACCCTTTCAATAAGAGATAATTTAAGTGATATGATAACTTTGGTGAAGTTTGTACCTGTACACAACAGGTAACTCACAGAGGATAAAAGAGATTTTCTACACTTACACAGAGGGTAACTTTCTGATATATAAAAAGAAACTACAAGACAACTGCCATATATGGCTTACACGAAGAAAGCAAAACAAAAACTACTGGAAACTAAAGCACTATCACATGACTTCTAAAAATACGGAATTAGCCATTACTGGAAAAAGACTAAGTCAAATAACATAAAATAAACTAAAGTATAATAACTGCTATGCATGTGACGTAAGGTAGCAAAGGTGTTGTACTTCAACACTCCCTCTCAACACCTATCTCGATCATTCCCATCTGCTCACAGAATTGAGCCATCTTTTTACTTGACAAGCCTTTAGTAAATGAATCTGCAACCTGTTCAGATGTCTTGACATACTGCAGATCAATTTCTCCTTTCAGCACCTTTTCACGAATAAAATGATAATGAACCTCCACATGTTTTGTTCTAGCATGAAACGTTGGGTTCTTTGCAAGTTGAATTGATGAGAGGTTGTCACAAAAGAGTGGAATTTTGTAGTCTACCTCCTGGTTTAAATTCTTTAAGAGTTGAATCAACCACACACTTTCTTGGGCTGCCATGGCTGCTGCTCGATACTCTGCCTCAGTTGTGGAAAGGGACACAGTCGGTTGTCGTTTACTACTCCATGATATGGCACTGGATCCCAACATAAAAACATATCCGGTTGTTGAGCGACATGTATTCAGATCACCAGCATAATCAGCATCACAGAATCCAGATAACTTACACATTGGCTCCCTCTTAAACACAATACCATAGTTTATTGTTGTCTTAATGTATCGCAGGACTTTACGAATGGCATCAAGGTGTGGTTTCCTTGGTGTCTGCATGAAACGACTTAATAGGCCCACCACAAAAGCAAGATCTGGTCTTGTTAATGTGAGATAAATAAGGCTTCCAACAATTTTCCTGTACATTGTAGTATCCTCCAACTTCCTTCCAAAATTAGCACACAACCTTACATTCGTGTCTATTGGAGTGACAGAAGGTTTGCAATCAAGCATACCGAACCTGTTTAACAAATCAATAGAATATCTTTGTTGGTGCAACATAATATCTCCCTTCTCATATCTCACTTCCAAACCAAGAAAATGTCGGAGTTTTCCAAGGTCTTTCATGTGGAATCCAGTACATAGGTTTTCTTTCAGCTGGGTAATAACTTCAACAAGGTTACCAATGATGATCAAATCATCTACATACACCAGGACAACTGCTACTTTGTCTCCAATGGTCTTGACAAACAAACTCGCATCAGCAGTGGTTATGATGAAACCGTTGTGTTCTAAGAACTCAACAATCTTTCCAAACCACGCTCTCGGTGATTGCTTTAGCCCATAGAAAGCCTTCTTTAGCTTACATACGTAGTTAGGGTATTTCGTGCTTTCAAACCCCATTGGCTGCTCCATATGAATGACATGGTCGAGATCTCCATACAAAAACGCGTTGCTTACATCCATTTGCCAAAGCGTCCAGCCCTTACTTGCAGCTAGGGCTAAGAGAACTCGAATTGTGGTCAATTTGGCCACTGGACTGAACGTATCCTCATAATCAAGCCCAATCTGTTGTGAAAAACCATGGGCTACTAAACGGGCTTTGAACCTTTCAATTGACCCATCAGCTTTCCTTTTCACCTTGTATACCCATTTGCATGAAATGGGCTTCACCCCATTAGGTTTTGGAACTAACTCCCATGTCTGATTGCGAATTAAAGCTGCCATTTCCTCTTCCATTTCTTGAACCGATTCTTGTTTTGTACTTGCTTGCTTAAAAGACTCAGGTTCACAAATATTGGATTCAACAATGGCTGCGTTTGCATATCTAGGATTGGGTCTCCTGACCCTAGTCGACCTCCTGAGGTTTGTCGGATCATCATCATTGTCATTAGTGTTTGGTGAGTGAAATATTCCTGTCTGCCATGGTTGAGACTCTTGAACTTGGGTTACTTCTTCTTCAACGACAGTGTCACCTTCATTAATGTTCAAGTGAATTCTTGAAGATTCCATCCCTTCTTTAAGTACATCAGAATCTGGAAGAGTTTCATGATTAGATGACCACCATGAAGACGTCTCATCAAATACCACGTTTCTCGACACATAGCACTTCCCACTGTTAGGATCACAACAACGCCACCCTTTTCTTTCTTGATCATACCCAACGAAGATGCAACGAATAGCTTTCTTCTCCATTTTATGGCGAAAATGACTGGGTATAAAAACATAGCACACACATCCGAAAACCCTTAAATGACTTACATTGGGTTTAATCTTCAAAAGTTTCTCATATGGAGATACATATTGAAGACCTTGCTGTGGAATCCGATTAATCACATACGAGGCCGTTTTCATTGCCTCTACCCAAAACCTCCCTGGAATATTTTTGTCGCGAATCATGCTACCACTAATGTCAGCAAGGTGTCGATTTTTACGTTCTGAAACTCCATTCTGTTGTGGGGTGCTTGGGCAAGAGAGTTGGCGTCTGATATTGTGCTCCTTCAAATACTCAGTAAACTCTTGAGCTAAATACTCACCACCATTGTCTGAACGAAGCCTTTGTATGCTGTGTTTTGTGTCTCGCTCTGCTTCAGCCTTAAACTGTTTGAATTTGCTGAAGGTTTCCGACTTCTCTTTCATGAAGTACACCCAAACAAACTTTGAGAAGTCATCAGTAAACGTTACCATATACTTCATTCCACCAATCGACGATTGCTTTACCGGTCCAAATACATCGGAATGCACTAGCTCCAAAGGTACTTTAGCTTGATAATTAGACTTGTCATATGGAAGTTGGTGGGCTTTTCCATATTGACATCCAGCACATACAAGACCTTTACAAACTTCAAGTTGTGGGAGTCCGTTTACCAGTTTCTTCTTCATCATCATGTCGAGTTTGTCATAACTCACATGACTTAACCTCATATGCCACAAATCAACATTTTGATTCTTCTTGGTTTTGTCTACAAACGCTGTTTCAGCCGACATTACATATATAGAATCTGAACGAACTCCTTGAGCTATTGGCTGTGATGAAGTTTCAAACTTTTTGTACACTTTCACGTCATCTGGGCCAAACAACACATAGTGGCCTGCAGTGGTTAATTGAGACACTGAGAGCAGATTTTTCTTCATACCTGGTACATGGTAAACACTTTGTAACACCATTTCTTTCTTGTTCACTTCTGGGTAAAATCTAACATCACCAACATGAGCAATTTGAAGCTTCGAATTATCTGCAATGACAACTACTCTACTACCACCATACTTCACTGGATTTTGAATGATTTCCTTCTCGCCGGTCATGTGATTGGAGCAACCCAAATCAACTATCCACTCGTCTAACTTGTTCTTTCGTTTTTCAGTCGTGGCTGTAAGTGCCATAACATTTACATCCTGGGCAAGATGTGCTTCTGCATCCCATGCTTCTTCTTCCTGAGACATAGCTGTATTGCCTTCTTCCACTGGTTCTTGACGACAATCTCTTGCCCTATGACCTTTATAACCACAATTATAGCATTTATAAGGAAATCTTTTGTTTGAGTGTTGATTCTTCGGCTTCTCCCCTGATTGTTCTCCCTTTTCATTGTTGCGATTCTTTTTCTCGAAACCATGACCTTTTCTTTTCTCAGAATTCCTTTTGGGGCTTTGGTTGAACCTGGACTTGGATTTTCCTTTGCTCTTTTCTACATACAAAGCTTCCTCATCAGTTTTTAGAGAGACTCCTCCCATCTGTTTTGCAAGGGCCTCTTGCTTAGCAAGCAGGTTCTCAAATTCCACAAGGGACGGTTGAACTGGCCACCCTTGGATTGCAGCAACAAAGCTCCTAAACTCTGGTTTCAAGCCATGCATAATGATCCTTTTCATTCTTTGTTCTCCAATCTGTGCTTCAGGGTCGAGTTCTGATATCTCTCTACATGTGGACTTCACCTTATGGAAATATTGAGGAACTGACATCTCACGTTGAGATACTGACAACAGTTCATTCTCAAGAAGTTGGAGTTTCGCATCATTCTTCTTTGAGAACAGTTTTAGAAGAGTTTCCCAGGCTTCATTAGGAGTTGTTACATCTCTAATGTGTTCGAGTACATCATCTTCAACTGTAGTTTTTAGAACGAACATTGCTTTCCCTGCTTTAATTTTCCATTTTCTCAATGTCCCATTATTGTCTTCTGCTGCTGGCTGGTTTTTCTCACTTCCTTTAACAACTTCCCACAAATCTTGTCCCTGCATATACGACATTATGCAGGTGGCCCAGGAATTGTAATTTTGATTGTTAAGTTTCTTGACACCGCCAACTACTTGAAGATCACCCATGGGTTAGGCTCTGATACCACTTGATAACTTTGGTGAAGTTTGTACCTGTACACAACAGGTAACTCACAGAGGATAAAAGAGATTTTCTACACTTACACAGAGGGTAACTTTCTGATATATAAAAAGAAACTACAAGACAACTGCCATATATGGCTTACACGAAGAAAGCAAAACAAAAACTACTAGAAACTAAAGCACTATCACATGACTTCTAAAAATACGGAATTAGCCATTACTGGAAAAAGACTAAGTCAAATAACATAAAATAAACTAAAGTATAATAACTGCTATGCATGTGACGTAAGGTAGCAAAGGTGTTGTACTTCAACATGATATTCATACAAGTGAGCAAAAGTACTTAAATAATAGTATATTATTTTGGTAGGAGCTGCTAAAATGACCATTATGTCTGAAATGGAACAATTTTGGCTTTTGGATGGTATATCATTTCTAATTTTCTAGCATCCACATCAAACATTCGCAAAATATTTTCTCTAGCACCCTACGTCCGAAATATTTACTATAAGAAGCTTTTCAACTAAATGTTACACTTTATGCCATTGTATGGTGATCAACCTTGGTTTTAGTAAGTTTTTTTTGTTTGATTTAGTCCAAAAAGTTAAAATTTAAAAATGTTTTTTCATTAAAATGTTACAAACCCATGTTTTATATATTTTATAAGGTTAAACAAAAAGTGATTTTGAAGAATTATATGTGTTGAAATATCGGATTTTAGATGTATTCTTATGTTTGAGATTTCATACACGCCCTATTGGTTTTACAGTGTACTATGTGTAAGATAAAGGGAGTCTGAATTATATGAAATGCATGAAATGTAATGTTATATTCTCCAGCTATTAGTGTCACATCTCACTTGTAACTTACATCAAATACGAAATTGAGCTAGTTTGAAAAGCAATATTTTGGACAATATGGTCATTTTGGTAACTCTAAAAAGTTAGGTTTTAAACTTAAATGTACAATAATCATGTAGTCATTTTTGTGAATATCCTTAGTGTTAAGGATTATAACTAAAATGCATTATAAAAATGGTCCTTGTGGTAAAATGGTCATTGTGCTATAGTTGAAATAAGAACTATATCATCTGTTAAAGATTATAACTAAAATGCATTATAAAAATGGTCCTTGTGGTAAAATTGTCCTTGTGCTATAGTTGAAATAAGAACTATATCATCGTTTTGCATCTCACTATATAGACAATCTTCATGGTATCATTTTGTTGCATGTTTGATATCATTTTTTTGAATATCCTTAAAGTATTCATAATGGTAAATTCAATAGGAAAATTGAATGAAGTGGCAAGTCTATTTATCATTCAATGAGTTAAACTCTAACATAATAAGATATCACATTGACATTAAAATGATTTAAAGTTCAATGGGAAAAGGAAAAATTATAATTCTTAAATATATATTATAAATTAGCTTTAGTAATTTTTTTATTAAACTTTGTAGATTTTCAGTAAATTGTAGAAAAAAATAATAAAATTGTATGAAATAGAAAAAAAAAATGATGTGACAATCTTATTATTTTCTCATCCCACCTTTTGTTTTTTTTTTCTTATCTTAGTTAAACGACCTAGCTTAACATTAATTTCATGGAGGATTCCAAGATTCCCTACTATATTCATCCTCATCATTGACTTTAAATCCAAGATTCTAGCAACTCTCACTTCTTGTTCCATGGTAGTCTTTTGAGCTCCTCATCAACAAGTAGTAAGATATGGGTTTGAGTCCATATTTTTCGATGATTTTATGTTTATCAAAGAAGCCAACATACAAACGATGTTGTCACTACAAATGGAGGGGTGCTATATATAAGGTTGCTTCTCTGAGAAATCAACACCAACGAGAATCCATGTTCATGAATCGGAGCTATCTAGTATCGTGAACAATAATCATGTGACCTTTTCAATTTCACAAACAAATATATAAATACAAGGAATCCCGATAAATAAGGGATGTATATTCACCGATATAAATATAAAATGTAATCACAAATATTATTCTTTGTTTTGTTTATTTAGATGCATTTTTCTTCATTGTCTTCTTAGCCGTCTTCATTTTTCTCAATAGTTTGCGGCGATATCCCTAATTATATTTCTTCTTCAAGTATTTATTTTTCTACCTGTTTAGTTTTTCTTTCAAGTGAAATGATGTCTTCATTTATCTCAATAGTTTGGGGCGATATCCCTAATTATATTTTGTAACGCCTTGGTATGTATTTAAAATCCACTACTAGAAAAAAGGTCTTTTACGATGCTCATTGCGCGTCGTAAAACGCTCGGACAACGCGCAAATCCGCGTCAAGGAAGGCGCTGTCATAACGAGAGACGACGCGCATTTACAACGCGCGTTTATGACACGCAATGCGTATCATTAAAATCGCCGTCAAGAAAAGCCATGTCATAAATGAAGATGACACACATTTTTGCGTATTGTAATTTTTATTTTTTTAAAAAAATTATTTATAGATTTACTAATTTTCAAATTAAATTTGCATTTCATGTCTCATAATAGAAAATAAAATACCATATACAAAAAATAGAATCCATTGCACAAAAGTTAATGTCATACAAAATACAAAATAAAATACAATAAATAAGAAAGATAATTCATTGCACTAAAATATCAAATACAAATAATCATCGCTAACTATATAACCTAATATTACATTTCTATTAAGGGACATCATCATAACTCACTGAAGGTCTTGGAACAATGTTCTCATCATCAACTCTTACACCAACCTTGCTTTAGTAGATGACTTTCACAGGATCAATATTGAAATAGATGCTGCTCGAACCACCATAGATGCTGCCCGAACTTACCGAGCTCAAACTTCCACTGTTTGCTTCATCTCATCTAACCTCTTTCTCCTTCAAGAACACAAAATAAAATGAAACCATGAATATATCACATGAAGTTTAATACCCTCATAAAATGAGATTAGGATTGAGGGAGTTGAAAGTACTTGTATTCTTCGAGGAAACAACTATCATCAACATCATCTTCTAAGTCTCACTACTAGAAAATAGAAACAACTTCCATTGATGTTGTAGCTGAAATACCAAGAAAATGTTTTTTTTTGTAGTATCAAATTAAACGAAGCCAATAAATAAAAGGGGAAAAAAGACTTTAAATTTTTAAACCTTATTCCATCTGCATTGTATGCCATTTCGTGGCCCTATAGAGATAACCAAACATGGAGTAAAAAAAAATTGAATTAAAACACTCTAAGTTTTCTAATTCAAAAACGTAAGTATCATAATCCAATATTTAAAATAAATTGTATTTTTCTGAAAATTCTTACCAGCATCCAAGTTTCCTGTTTAGAAATCCAATTACATGTCCCAAGTTGTCCCTCTTTTTCTGTGGTGTAGGAAAGATTATAGTTAGAAGTCTCAACGGTTAATATATATAAAAAATAAAAAAGGAAAAAAAATAGAGAGCAAACAAACCTGAGTATGGTGTTGTAGTTATCAATCAGTTTACAAAATTCTACTTTTCTTTTTTTTGACATACTAAGAAACATCCACCAATTTTAGCAATGAAAATTATCATATGATTGAATGACATTGCATTGCTTGAGCAGCTGCATACTTTTTCAAACCCTCAAAGAAGGAGAAAGTTGGCTTTGATTGACTAGCGGGAGATGGTGGTGGAGGTATGATTATGGGTATGTGGAGAAAGTTCTTCACTGAGGGTTTCTTTATTACTGAAACAAGAATAGCATAAAAAAATCAGATGTTAATTTAAACAACATGATCTAAGCCAGTTAACAACTTCTATCAACTTACGTAATCCATATACTAGGGAGAACAAGTTGGAGGTGATCTAATAACAGAAGAGGGCCTGCACAAATATGAAAATGGTATTTGAATTTGAGGGAGGGGTAGTTTAGTAATTAAGAAAGAGAAAGAGTAGTGAACTAGCCTTTGGGAAACTTACAGTGAGGGGGACTGTAAAAGCAGCAAAAGCCCTTGAAACATTTTTCATTGTGGCAACAGCAGGGTTACCATCCAAACCTTCTTGCATGTTCAACTGAGTGAGGAAGGAACACACCAAACAAAACATGTATCATGTTCCATTTTAAAAATAGGATATCCAAACATCAGTAGGTATTCCATTATATCTGAGTATCACGAGAAGGGAATCAATGTAAAGATGATTCAGTCATTGAACAAAGGACTTACCTTGACCAAAAATGACATAAATTGAACAAAAACGAGACCCAAGAAAGCGTAAGAGAGTTGTTGAGAAAGAAGTGTCTCCTGAGGTCTGAATATGTGACTTATTTCTGGCATTGGGCCAAATCTTGAATATGGGTCAACAGCTTGCGGAGGCGGGCGGGTTGCCTTTTCGGGTACTTCAGCTAGATCCAAATCGATATGGCCAAGAGCTTGTGAGAAAGAGTTTTCTTGGAACATAGAAATTTAGTTTAAGAAAATGACTGATAAATATATGTGGTAAAAATCAAATACAAGGTTGAATCCTTTATTACCATGGCAGCATCACCAAGTGTCAACTCAATGTCGTATTTACCAGAGAGATAAAATAATTTTTCAACAAGGCCAAGAAAATCCTGGAACAAGGAAAGTATCCTGTAGTGTCAAAACTATGTTAAAAAAATACATAAAAGTACAAACTACTTTTTTACATTTCTATCAATTTAACCATTGAAGGGTCTAAATTGATAAAGTGGTGATAGTACAAGTGTTTTTTTTTTTTTTTCTTACTAATTATTTTAACAAGAAACATGAAAACGGAAATGGTGAAAGATAATGACCAGTGTTACCTTAAAATGTACGCGAGAGTTCCTAACAACAAAAATATGTTCAACTCCAGATTCGTGTCTCAACTTTAACAATGCTTGGTGAGGGTTGAACGGCTTTTGAAGTGGAGTTGTCAACTAAAAAGACAACCGCAACTTTTGAAGATGGTTTGATGAAAATGCCATGTCATTCTTTCTAGATAAATCAAGCCTAATAATAAATCATATTTTTTTAAAAATCATAATCACCCAAAAACGTGAAATTGAAAAGACAATTAAAGTAAACACACTTGTTTTCAGTCTCTACATTGTCGCTCTCGAGTACTTCGATTTTGGCATTATCAATTTTGATGACTCCTGTGACATAAACTGGCACCTTTATTTGTCCTCCAGTTGCATATATATATATATATATTTTTTTATGTTCTAGATATGAAAGCACAATCAACAAGGTACAAAATATAACCAAAGATTATAGGTGGTTTGTTAATAACTTAATATAATAAGGCAAATAAGTAATTATGGATATGTTTTTTACACAATATAAAATACCTCGACAACAAAAATATACATCCCAACATCAACACCTGCTGGAAAAGCATCAAGGGTGTGGACCTCTTCTTTAGGGTCAAATCTGAGTTCTTGACAATGGACAAGTGAAGATTATAAAATAATTAAAAACTATGCATAAAACAATATATAACTGCAGCAGTAATGTAAGAAAAGATTTTTCATGGTGTACCTGGTTAATTATTAAAGTGTCTTGTGATCCGGAGGTAAAAACTTTCATGAGTTTTACTGATAAAGGAGGTGTGGCAGATGTAGATCCCAGTACAATGGTCACCCTGGTCTGTATGCAAAAGCTATAGGATAAGTGACAAGATAAAACCTAAATTATAAATAGAAATCATTTATAAAATTTTATATTAGTGATTGAAATGTAGGAAAAAGAATCTGGGGTCTGTAAATTAGCAATATTGAAAGATGAAATGTAGTGAAATAGGTCTACCGAATGACAGGCATGCTTTGGATTGGATCTCTCATATATGCTCTCGCCCATAATCCCACACAATCACAGGAATGCTCTGGATTAGACTCATCCATCCCAAATAACTTAAAACCTGATATTTTTGGCTTCAGGTACTCATCTAGCAAGATGTTACATGCTTTCAGATCTCTATGGATAATCTTCAGCCTTGAAAACCTATGGAGATATAGGAGTCCCTGAGCCATTAAATGCTATCAAGATGACAAATTGTGTAATCCAATCAATTAATCCTTTCTTCCTAGAATCTGTTCAAAATTAAATGAGAAAGATAGCCAGACAAGATGAAGTAAATGTTGATTAGATCTTACCAAATTGAAAGGAGTCCAAACTTTTATTAGGCGTGTATTTACTCATATTCAATAAAATCTTTTGGTAAAACTATAGATATAAACAGCAGCAAAATTGAAGCATTCCCAAAACTAATCAAAGGAATAAACTCACTGTGAACCTCAGGACAACAATCAAAATTAAGCTGAAAACAGGGGAGTTTATTAGAGCGAGAGAGATGAGAGATGAGAGAGAAAGAGAGAAATAGAGGGGAAGAGTAGCTGCAACCTACACGATGATACTGCCCGTAAACTTTACCTTCACTGTAACTGTCTCCGGTCATCACGCCGATGTCAAGATCTCTGTAGTTCAAGAACGCACCACTTGGATTCTTTGATACGAATGTTGTCATGAAATCGTGTGTAACCCTTGTTTGATTGAAGTAGTTTCTTTCAAGTGCTGGATCAGGGTCACTCCACCCAATGGAATATTGGATTTTGAAAATATTGCCGGCGCGGTGAGGCATTTGACGTAGTCGGACTTCCATTTTTCGAAGTTGATGTTGTCGGAGTGGCGGTTGAGGAGAATCTCCAGTGCGATTGTGTTGTCGATTTCACAAAGTTCTATTAGGGTTGATGGGGTTCGATGGCCCAGCTGTCGATTTCATCAGATGCACTCCGAAGTCTTAGAGATGATGGGGTTCGATGCTGGTGGTGGTGGTTAGGGCTTCCAAAGGGATGGGATAGAGAGTGCAGAGGTAGAGGAAGACGGGCTGCTTCAAAAGGATTGACAGCCTCACAATTCTATTAGGGTTCATTGGTAGAGGATTTCATTTCCCGGCTATTGGTAGAAGGAGAAGAAGGAGATACATGGCGAGGTGTTTAATTTTTTGGGATTTCATTTCCCGACTATTAAAAAAACGGAGAACGCGAGCCTTCCTAAAAAAAATATAAAACGACACCTTTAGAGGACACGCTCTTTTCGTTAAGTGCCCTCCGTGTTTTTAATTTTTTTTCTTGAAATACTAATTTAAGGGCACGCAAAAAATACGTGTCCTCCATCCTTCGTTTTTGGAAACCTGACATTATTTGTAGGGACACCCACAAATGCGTATCGTAAATCTGCGAGTGTCATTGTTTGCGTGTCATTAAAGGGTATTTTTCTTATAGTGATCATAAATTATTCATTTTTACAGATCAACTCTACAAGTTGGAAGCCCCAAAATCGTCGAGTATTGATTATTTGGATCGGGGGTTTTGAGGAACCTAGGTGACGAGTTGGGAGGCCTCAACTCGACAATTAGGCTGGCAGAAATGAAACCCTAATTTCCAAGGTTTGCACCCTACTTAAACAACTTAAGCCCTAGGGTTTAGCCTCATTTCCAGCCTCCAAGACCATACTGTAGCATCCCAATTTTCAAGACCAAAAGTTTCATTTTTGATTTAACGTTTTACGAAACATTTATAAGAAAACCATGTCAAGTCATATCATTTCATAAACCACAATCACATGTCTCAAAACCATATCATAAAAATAATAATAATATCAGAGTACAATCCCAAGAATCTTATAATGCGGAAATCCTGTGTGTGTGATGCGCCGCCACCGTGCCGACTCCTTCCCCTTTGATGAAGAGGTACCTGAAAACAAAACTGAAAACTATAAGCAAGAAGATTAGTGAGTTCCCCCATCATACCCCATACCATACATAACACATACTATCATACATATATGGGTGCCTGACCTACCCTTCTGAGCATACTAGGGTGCTCAACCTACCCTTGCTAGGCATATGGGGGTGCCTAACCTACCTTTGTCCGACATACTGGGGTGTGCGACCTAACCCTTCAGTTTATCTCAACTGGTTACGAGGACTATTTCACCCTTACTACTACCACATAAAAGCATAACATAATCATACTGTTAGATATACCGGGGTGCCCGACCTACCCCTTCGTCCTATCGACCAGTCTTGGGGACTATTCCCCCCTACTAACACATAACATCATATGAGGCTAGCACAAAAGCATAACAGTTAAACAAATACCAGGCAATTATCACAAAGACAATTATCTCTAATATAACTCTTACTAGTGGGCCGGTCTTGGTGCCTTCGACCCATTTCTACTGGAAGGTAATTCACCTCAGTGTTGTAAAGTGTCTGAACTATCTTCGCTGCCGGAATCAACTCCTCTCAATTCCTACACATAACAATCCTCCTTAATTACCCTTTCATGGTCAACTCAGGTCAAAGTCAAAGTCAAGGTCAACACGTTGTTCAAAGTCAACATCTGGTTGACTCAACTCACCGAGTTGAGCCCACAACTTGTGGAGTCCCATAATCCTGAGAACGCTGAAACTTTGACCCTACTCGCCGAGTCTTACAACAGCTCACCGAGTTCTCTTATAAACAAAATCGGGACCTTCTACTATCAACTCGCCGAGTTCATCTTCATCCGAGTTAAATTGTTTAGTCCTTAACTCGTGAAGTTCTTCTTGAACTTGTCAAGTTCGTCTTCATATGGTTGGGACATTGGCTTGAATTCGCCGAGTTCATCCTTGAAATCATCGAGTTCTTCTTTCTTCATGCCCCTATTCCCGTCCATCTTATTGGGTCCTCTTCTAGACTCAACCATATCGATCAGAAGCCAAAATGGTTGGGGAACCATACCCCGACTCGTCGAGTCCCCCAAAGTCCATTTTTATACAGTTGATTTCAATTGGTCTTAATGTATCAAGAACATAGATTTGACATCCTAGGGTCCATATTATACGTAAAGTGTTAAACTTGACGTTCATGCATGGGGTATTTGGCTCAACTGGACCTAAAATGGAGTCTACAAGATGCATGGGGCTCTTATGGAAATAAAGTTGGCACCTTTATGCCATGAGAACCCTCCTAGCTTCAAGATCTGAAGTCATCAATCTATATTACACTCTAAACCCGAAGGTGACTTAGAAATGCCCCAAAGATGACAAGATTTAATCCCTAAAGAGGATCTAAGAAATGGGAAGTTAAGGTTGAAGCTTTTTACATTGAATAAGCTGTAAATTGAGCAAAACCTCTGGATTTACTTGCTTCCTCTTGAAGCCCCAAGCTTCCACTTCTTCCTTTAAGCTTCAAACAACCGAAAACACACAAAAAAGGCTCAAGGACACTCCAAATGCTTTAGGGTTTCGAGTTAGGGCTTTCTTGAACTATGAGAGATGATGAAGGATGAAATGGGACAAGTTAAGGCGTTTAAATAGGGTGCAAACCCCAAATATTAGGGTTTCATCTAGGTAGTCCTACTCGTCGAGTCGGGCTCCGGATTTGTCGAGTAGGTTACTTAAACCCGCGGCCAGAATCCAGTCTACTCGACGAGTTGGGCCTCCAACTCGTCGAGTCCTAGTGTAAAACATGCAATTACTTAAATTTAGAATACGTACCAGGAACCGGGTGTTACAACTCTCCCCTATTTATTGTAGACTTCATCCTTGAAGTCCGCTACTACATCTGGAAAAAGCTCGGGGTAGTGCTCCCTCATCTCGTCCTCCGGCTCCCAAGTCCATTCTGAACCCTTGCGGTGCTGCCATTTCACCTTCACCAGCTCCATCCTCTTGTGCCTTAGGTCCTTTGTGTTGGGGTTTGAGCATTATAACACTCCTAAGTGTACATGCAACCCTAAATACCTTAGATCTATGTTTTCTATATTATACATGCAAATATGAACTTTCCAAGGTATTCACCCTATCTAGCATAATAACATTGCTTCAAATGAATATATCAAGTTAGAATTACATACCTCTTTGATGTAGATTATCTTCATGAAGATTGAGTGCCTAGTGCCCCAATTGTGACACCTCAAATGGTTCACACAACAACAAATACACTTGGAATGACTTGAGAGAACATACGCACCTCATGAAAATCGGCTAGCCTTTTCTATCTCACTCATAGTCCCGATTTTCCTAAGAGTATGATCTTTATATAGTGTTACAATTAGGGTAAACCCTAATTTTCATGACTTTCCATTTCCTTGGATCCATGGGTTCAAATACACCATGGAGTATCCATGGAGCATCCTATGGGTTTTAGCCCAACTTGATAATCCATGGAGATTTAGCCCACTATACAAGTATGGATGATTTACACAATCAACCCATATATTTAATTAGTCTTCTTTTGATCACTTAATTAATCCTAGATTAATTCTTTATCAATACTAATTAAATAATCTTATTAATATATTAGAACTTATAATATATTAACAAACCTTAAGTGTTATTTCTCTCATTATAGTCTATCCAAATGCATGATGTCATGCAACCCAAATGGACCATGCCGGGTCGGGTCAAGTCTCACTAATTATAGTTATGGACTTAGACATTAATCCAACAGCCTCCCACTTGGATAAGTCCAAAACTATTATTGCGTATGACTTCAAGAACCGACTGGCAATCATAGCTCTCAAAAGCTTCTGTCGAACTCTGACCTTGTAAATGAACTCCGACCTTTTTCAGTGACCTGTCCATTAGATAAGGGATCATATATTCCCCAATTCTAGATATCATATGGACTGAGACATGGATTATAAATTATTCTCTCTGACCATTTGTTGTTTCCCTATTTCCGATTTATGACGACTAACTAATTGAACAAATCAAATCAGTCCTGGCCCGGTCGAGCACTTGCATTTGTCATCACCAAATCATCGAGGGGCCCACAGATATCGCTTTTATCCCAAAAGTAAAAGAAATGGATAAACTTCGACTCATATGGCTTGTTCTACTACTTGTTGAATCATACACAAAGACACATTTTATAACATCGAGTTACCGAATGCATTTTCGTGCAATCAATGTACAACCAACTCTTAGTAACAACTCATATCTCTAGGGTTGAAAAATATAAGATATTATCGTCTCATTATCACTCGTGATAAAATCCATGGAGTGATTCCAATGAGCGCGGGTTGAATCCAATACTCAGAACTTATGAGTAATCATGAGTGTTTTAGCCCTTTGTCCAACATCTTAGACCTCTACAAGCCAACCCATGACAGTCTTGATTCATTTCTACTTCCAATATATGACTGACTGTGGATGGTTTGAATAACTTAGTCATCCAGAACAATGACCTAGTTATTCTAGAAGTTAAAACACGCAAAGTGAAACACAATAATAATTGAATCCAATATGGTATCAAAACCTATGAACATAAATAAAACACCTTTTATTTATCACCATATGATTACATATTATTCATTGTATACTGTTTCAGCTATCAACTTTATTCTTGAATTTAAAACAATAGTTGTCCCATGCTCCAAGCATGTACACTATGTTTTCTAAACACTAGTCATGCCATACACCAAGTATGCATACTATGTTTGTTTATGATCTTTACTTTTTGAAATAGACCAATTGAACATAACTCCAATGATTCTCATGTCACAGTCCCAAATCCTTACTGCAACTGCAAGAATTCCAAATTCATGCCATTTACTGAAATCTGTTAGATTCTAAACTTATATGCATTGATCCTCTTGTAATGATTATGCACAA